CCGCACGGTCGTCGAGCCATCGGGGAACTCGTACCAGATGACCACGTGGAGCGACCGAGTCGAGCGTACAGCGCTTCACGCAGTCGCCAAGGGCCTCTACGCCATCCATTTTCAAGCCGACGGCGCTGCGATTCTGGACACGCCAGGCACCAACATGGTGTACCTGCAGTCGCCCTCGACGTTTGGGGCGCTCCGATCGCAGCCTTTTGAAGAGCACGTGCTCGTGTGTCAATGGGCCATCGATGACGCGCGCTACGTCGTGTGTGCGCAGAGCATTCTGAGCGACGCGCTGCACCAGCCACGCCTTCTGGCGCAAAACTGGACAAGCTGGACGATCGCCGACCGCGTGGACGCGCACGCGACCCGTGTCGTGCGGTGTCTGATCATGGGAGGCTTGCGCACCGGCGACGGCGCGCCGGTGCCGTTTGCGCTCGAAGAGCCAGAAATTGCGAATGTCCACCCGAGCCAGCAGTGGACCTCGCTCGTGCAAGCAAGAGTGGCCTACGCGCAGCACCTCGAGACGCATTTAGATGAGCTTCTCCAGCGCGCGTTGGCTCGCAGCGGCTAATAGCATACACATGGAAGTAACAGCGCTATTTATTTCAAACGGTTGGAGTGTGCTCGATCGACCGGTGGTGTTGCCGTCGAAAGCGGGTCGTGGCTGAAACACAAATCTGCTGTGTCGTCGATTCTCGCGCGTTGCGAGTCTACCATCTTCAATTGTACGACTTCGATTGTGATGTTTGCAGCGTCTTGTTGACCGCTCGCCTTGACAACGTGGTCTTAGATCATCGCATGGCTAGCCCAGGAGCGTTGTTTGTAGCGAAGGACAACACGCAGATATGCAGCCCGCTCTTGAACGAGACCCGACAATTGCGGGGGGAAAAACCCTGCTCAGCTACAATTTGATAGCTTTAAACGCCAAAAACATAGCAACACTGTAGCACACCATCTCTTTACGACCCTTTCCTGCAGCTTTCATCAAAGCACCGTCGTTTTTTAACCTGAGCGCTGGCCAAAAATGTGGAGGAACCGGGGGTCGAACCCGGGGCCTTCCGCATGCAAAGCGGACGCGCTACCACTGCGCTATACCCCCATATGGTGTTACAGTAACTTTTTAAAGTATTAATAGTTTAAAGTGTTTTCGAGCGTAAAAGTAGGACGGTTTCGCACTTGACGCCCTGCAATTTGCAGTGTGGACATTGTCTCCTATGCTTTACAATATTAAAAAATAGAAAACGAAGATAGAGTGTGGAGAGATACGCGGTTGACGATGGAGTACAATGTCGAGAGAGGCTGGCGGATGGGATCAAATTTCGCACGAGGATGCTGATCGTGAACGGAATCCCGATTCCAGTGCACTGCGCGTTGGTATCCAAACTTCCTCATTCTGTTAAGCACAGTGCTCTTTCAATAGTCTACCGTCACAAGCCACGGTGTGCGATGATGGCGTGTGTCCCAACGATACGAGCAAGCCACCCACTTAAGATACGCCGTGACGTGGCAGCACGACGCGCTCCAGATATTCATCCAATCCTGTCGCATCAGGCGTTGTATTTTGGCCAATCCACGTCGAGAGGCAAATCCAGCTGCCTGACCGAGGAAAGAGCAAATGGGCGAGTCAGCTGTTGTCGTCTCGGTCGTGCGTGGCCGCGACCTCCGCGTCGTCCAGAAGCTTGGCGTGCAGGACCCGTACGTGGTGCTTCGGCTCGGAACATCGGCCCCGCGTCGGTCCGAGACCCATGACAACGGCGGGACAGCACCGATCTGGCACTGCACCGAGACGTTCACCGACGTCCCGTTGCCACTGCCCGTGCTGCAGATTGACATTATGAACAACAATTGGATCCGCGACAAGCCCATCGGCATCTGCGACATCGACCTCAACGAAGTCTTTCGGCGGGCGAGCGTCGCCGAAGCGTGGTTTCCTGTCAAATTTGAAGGCGCGCGCTGCGGTGACTTGCACGTCAAGCTGCAGCGCCCGTCGTCGAGCCCTCGCACTCGCGCCACGTCGACGTCGTCGTCGTCGACCAACAACACGGTGCTCGGCTCGATCGCCAACGTGCACTCGGCCGTCGCGATCGCAGAGCTTCGCGATGAGAACGCGCGCCTTCGCAGCGAATTGGCACAGCTTCGCCGGCTCTTGCCGCAACAAACCTTTCTCCACGCACCAAGCTACAGTACAGCGACCCGATCGCGTCTCGCCTCCTAAGCTCTTAGATCGTAGTGGCTGACATCCCGATTGTTTCGAGTGCGAACGACCTCCAGCAGCTCCGGCCGATTGGCATGGGCGCCCACGGCACGGTCTATCACGGTCTCTACAAGAACGACGTCGTCGCGGTCAAGTGCCTCGATCAAGTCGAGGACCTCACCACGTTTCACCGCGAAGTCTCGGCCATGTTCAAGTACTACATCGTCTATGCCGTGCATCGTACCATGCAAACCTGGGTAGGCTGCAGTCGCAGCACACGGTGCAGCTGCTCGCGATGGCCGACCTCGACACCAACCAGCCCAAGATCGTCATGCCGTACATGGTCCACGGCGATCTGCGCACGCACCTCGACAAGCGCCGCGCCAACGAGCATACGGGGTGTACGCTGCCACATCAAGCGATTGCCGTCGCGGTCGCCGCCGCACTCGTGGACCTGCACAAGTGCAACGTCATCCACCGCGACCTCAAGCCCCAAAACGTCTTGTTGTCGACCGACAATCTTGTGCAGGTCGCCGACTTTGGTATTGCGCGCGAGAACGGACTGCGCTCCAAGACGGCCGAAGTGGGCACGCCCCTCTACATGGCGCCCGAAGCCTTCTCGACGAGCCACTATGGCACCGAAGTCGACGTCTACGCGCTCGGCGTTCTCCTGACCGAGCTCGACACGACCATGCGGCCGTACAGCGAAGATTGCGTGAACGAGTATGCGCTGTTCATGCAAGTATCCAACGGTCGCCGACCCCTCCTCTCGCTCACGTGTCCTCTCTGGTACTATGAGCTCGCGCACAAGTGCATGGCTGCAGATCCGATCGACCGCCCGACGGCCGCGCAGGTGCACAAGTGCCTCTCGCAGCACGCGAATGACCCGCACACGACGACCACCAGCGGTGTCCCGATCATTGCGGGAACCGACGTGACGTTCGTGAGGCGGCTCTCGCCGTCGACCGAGCTCGCGCTGTACGGCTCCGACCCGGTCGTGCTCCAGACGGTTGCTCCGACGCTGGCGGATGCACGGGCGTACGAACGCCATTTGGGCAATTTGTTCACGTACAATCATCTCCGATGCGATGCACAAGGACTCATTCTAGTGTTGTATAGCCTCGATGCGCAGCCACATCTGGTGCGGCTGGTTGGTGTCGTCGGCGGCGCCTCCTCCAAGCTCGTGCTCGAGTTTTTGGACGGCGGCGACCTATTGACGTACCTCGAGCAGCCCGAGCCCCGACGACGCGTGTCGAAACTCAACCTTGTGATCGGCATAACGCACGGCCTCCACGCGCTTCATGCGCAGGGCATGGTGCACGGGCACCTCGAAGCCAAGCACGTCTATTTAACAACGCGCGGTGATGTCAAGCTCGCGAGCTTCAAGTTCGGGCACACCGGCGCGTTCTCGGACGATATCTTTGCGTTGGGCAATCTTTTCGCCCGCGTGGACGCTGCGTACGCACAGCCGTCGGCCCATGACCCCGTGTTGGCGTTCATCATCCAGCGCTGTTGCGCCGACGAGCCATCGGTCCGACCGTCAACCACCGACCTTCTTGCGTGCCTCGCGTCGGCGTCCGTCGCCTAAACCATCAACTCTTGGTTCCTTATTGTCTAGTAGCCAAGTCGCCATATAGATATTCATGTTTCAATCAACTGTCTTCTCGTTTGCCGGCGACCATCTATGGTCCGAAGCCAGAGTGTTTGGTCGCTTTGTACCCCTACCCCTCTACAACCCTAGTTCTCGCCGCCTCGCGCGCCATGGTAGTGACCACCGACTCGTCGGCGAACTCTGCAAGTCGACGAAGAGTCCGCATGGACTCGGTTACACTGTACAGGCATGGGTATCATCGTCATCATAATCAACATTTTACAGGGTGTGCGACGCATACAAAGAGGGTCTTCTACTATCGTGTCCGTAGCGTCACCGCGGCGCGGCGACGGGGCTGCATACCGGGCTCGGCTCGGTGCTCATCGAATCGATGCGCGCAGTCGCGTTCTCGTACCGGATCTGCGCCAACGTTTGTTGAAACTTGAGCACGTCTTGCGCAAAGATGCGCTGGTGGTACACGTGCGTCTTGTGTTCAAATTGCCGAAACTGCACGACCGGGTCCGTCGAGAGCACTGTCGATGGGTCCTGGTCGAACGGGAGGTACTGGTCCTTCGTGCGGAGGCCGTTGGCGACCGAGACCTGCTTGATGATGACGCGGTCGTGCCCGAGGCGCTCGGCGATCGTCCAGTTGGTCCAGTTGCGCTGGATGCGGTCGAGCGGGTACTTTTCATCGTCCGTGATGCTGTGGGTGAAGACCACGTACCGGTTCTCGTCAAAGAACTGGCGCGCGAGGATGTTTTGAAAGTACGCGTTCTGCTGCGTCGCCCCGTACGGCGACTTCATGCGGAAGTACATAATGTTCGGGTCCGGCATGTCGAGGAGCCCGTCCGGCTTTTGAAAGTAGAGCCGTTGGAGCGTCTGCGTGACCTCGTCCAAGGTCGCATACTCGATGCGCTGGCGGGCCTTGATGAGGTGGTACGACGGATCGTTCTCGAGCGGAAAGACGTGGACTTCGCTGACTGGCGCCATGGACGCCGGGAGCCCGCAGTGCTGGATCATCGCGTCAATGTTGTGGTACAGCTGCTTGGTGATCCAGTCAAAGCCGAGCCGCCGCGAGCTCTCGTGGGCCATGAGCGACGAGTTGCGCCACGACTGCTTGAACGGGTCCGAAAACGTGGGCACGGCCATGGATTTGGCGACCCACGAGTTCATAATGCAGGCGATTTCCTTGTACTTGCGCAGTTTGCTGTGCAGCGACGACTGCTTCTCGGAGCTCGCGTCCTTCATCGTCTTGAAGATCGTCGCGACATCCTTCCACGGCAAGAGGTTCTTGCTCGTTGCAACGAGCGCGCTCACGTCGTCGTCGTCATTGGTATGAGGCGCTCTTTTCTTGCCCTCAATCTGCTTGAGCTGCGACTGCAAATCTTGAATCTGCTGCGAGAGCTGCATCGCCTCTTGCTTCTCCATCATGCGGAACCGCCGGTTGCGCTCGCGGTTGTATTGCTTCTTCTTGTCGTACGCGTCGGCCGACGACGTCTTGGCTGTCTTGGCAGGCGCACTGCGCTTGGACGCCGGGCTTGACACGGCGCTGCTCATCGACGTATTGTCGTCCGCCACGTACTCGAAGCGGCTGGTTGCGTCCGGCGCGGGCTCGGCGATCGGGATTGGCGGCGGCTCGGACACGGACGCGAGCCACTCGAGGTCGACGTCAAAGTCGCATCCGGGCGCGGCTACCTGGCCCATGTCCATGTCGATCATCTCGTCCGAG